CGAGAGGGGGAAATGTGATGATGCGTGAATTATATTGATGGAAGCGGTTGACTCTAAGGCAGTCTAGAAGTTCAGAATTTAAGACAGATCTGGAGGATTTAGTTTTGGTCAGCAGAGTTTCTAATACACACAGAAACCCTTCACCATGTGAGGCCAACATCTATTTATTCGTAAACCCATAATGCAGGGTCTAATTTTTTGGACCCAACGTGCTAGATCAGACGTGGTTCCATTTGTCTGGTATGGAGAGCACCCTCTCTCACTGAAGGGGTGCACCCTACTTACCTATACTCAGAAAATCTGGATGCAGGTTGCCGAGAGCCAAGGCTTGGAGACCCCAGAGTTTGTATTGTGATTCTGCTGGAGTTTCACAAGCTAAATCTTCAGATTGTAATATACCAGAACATTGATAATCCTGCTGGTTGTCTAGCTAGGTCCATCTACATCTTAGACACTTGGCTTGCAAGGTTATCTAGAGCTGACTGTGGGGAGAATCGCAGCCCCCATTGACTGGTCTACTCCTCAAAATCTTGATAACAACCCTGGCTGGTCTACCATCAACAGTCCCTTGAGGTTCTATGGACATCCTGGCTCAGTTTGGATGACTAAGACTACCACAGAATATTCACTTGTTTCTGATTTTCCATTGACAGGGAAATCACTTCTGAACCAACTAAGCCCCAGAGACGCTACTCAGCTCTCCCTCCAGCGGAGGGTAGGAAGAACGAGAGGACAGAAGTGCAAAATTGACAAGCCTCAAGTAAAACTAGAGACTTCCTGAAAAAAAATCATAAAGAGCAAGGAAATGGGATTAGCATAGGCAGTTACACTGGGGGAGATATAATAATAATAATCCTTGCATTTGATATAGTGCCTTATCACATCTTCGAGACATTTCAAAGCGCATCACAGAACATACTGTAAAGTGAACTGACTGTATATTTTTGTGGGCGATATAGGACCAGGACAGATAGAAGGGGTCAAATCTTTCTATGATTCTATGTGTAGTGAAAGACGGCATAGAAAATACAAGTGCCTTGTGATCTTACCCTGTTTATGACTCAGAATATCTTTGGTATGTGGAGGATAATAAAACTGCGGGGAAAAAAATTCTGTGAAGTCCAACAGTTTCACCCATGCCAATGAAAATATAAATTCTTGTCTAGTTTTGGCTCAGCTAAGATGGAAGTTCAAGCACATCAGGAAGATTTAATATATAATGGAGTGTTTGGATCCATGCCTAGAACAAAATGTTAGTGTGCCCTATAACAATGGTTCTTCTTTTAAACAAGTCCAGGGCCCAGCTTTCAGACATTCAGGCAAAGATGAACGTCAGACTATTTTTCTGTATCAACCAAGCTAACTAACATGATTTGCTCGGTATGTTGAAACTATTCAATTTATCATTTTAATAAGATAAATCAGGTAATTGACCTAACTAAGAAACCACAAAATGTACTACCCAGATGGCAGTGAAGAGCAGGGAATTGCAATCAAACAGAAAAATAATGCGTTTTTTGTGGTCATGCTCCTACCAAAAAAAAACCTTTACCCACCATGTGCACCCCCCCAGTTCGAGTGCAAATCCTTGACTGTCCAGCACTTTGGGACGTCCTCCCAACATACAAGGTGCTATACAAATGTAATTTGTTGTTGTTGTTTTAATGATACTCGGTAAATTAGTCAATAAATTTTTTTTGGAACATCATCAATTTTACCTGTCATGATAACTGTCTGCAGATTTGGTCTAACAGTAACTTAACTAAAACATGAATGTCACTAAAGTTCGAAGAAATAGAATAGCAAATGCGAGGGTTTTTTATTTTTAAACGCCGAAAGCAAATAACTGGACTGAAACATACCACGAGATGAAAAATCCCTCAGAATTTAAAAATAAATGCTGATGACAAACTGCTTCAGAGCATAAACAAATGTTCTCAGGGCCAAAACAGATTAGATCCAATTGTTTTAATCTTCCTGATGAAGTAGAAGGGACCAATTTTTTGTGACTGTTACTGATTCTGGCTACACACACACACACAAACACACATGCACAAGAAGTATAGAAATTTACAACACAGAAGAAGAAGGTTATTTGGCCCATCATGTCTGTGCTGGCTTTTTATAAGTGAAATCTATTCAGTGCCACATATATGTCATTTCCCATACCCCTGCAAATTATTTTTCTTTTCAGATATTTATCTAGTTTCCTCTTGAAAACTGATATGGATTCTGCCTCGACCAGGGAACTGGCAGGGCAGCGCACAGCGTAAACATCTATAATTTTATTTCCTAATCCTCCCATTTGCTAATGATCTTAAATTTATGCCCTCTAGTCACTGACTCACCACCCAGTGGAAACAATATCTTCCAGAAGCCTGCCTTTTATTAGTAATGATGTAAGTCAGCACGTCTCATACAAAGACAGGAGGAACACATAAATCCCGATGGTCAGCCTCTGGCTGTGCACATCCTACTGTAAATCAACATCACTAAAGAGGAAGGCATTTTACAGGCCCATGAGATTGTGCAATCTTATGACTTTTTCAAATATCGTGACATGACGCATGCAATTTCACCTCACACAAGTGGTTGAGGTGGGTGCCTTGAATCTAATCTGGACCCTTGTGAAAAGACAGGATCTTCGCAAGCTGTTTCAGGATGTAACCAGTCAGATCTGCCTAAAGATATCTGTTGGTTGGTGTTGAAGGTCACAATTTTATGCAAAATCATGCCATAAATTCGGCATAAAAAAACTGAGCATAATAGAACCTGATCAAGACCGCTTTCCTCCACCTCCATCATATTGCCCCGCCTCTGACCTTACCTCACACCCAACGCAACGAGACCCTCCTCCATGCTTTCTTCATCTATCGCCTCAATTATCACAATATCCTTGGCGGTCTCCCCAGCTCCACTATCCACAGAACTTTGTTGCCCATATACTCACGCTCTCTAACCGCCATTTCCCCCATCACACCAGTGCTTGCCAGGTTCCACTGGCTCCCTATAACAGTACAAATTGACTTCAAGATCCTCACACTTGTCTACAAATCCTTTCATGCCCTGACACCTCCCTACCTCTCTGACCTGCTTACTCCCCACCCTACCACCATTTGGCTGGCTCCGGCCTGAATCTTGTCCCTTGCACTCCACAAGCCATGCTTCCAGCCACTAAGCCCCAAAACTTTGGACCTCTCTCTTTCAATCCCTCTGTCTTGTCCCCTCCTTCCCCTTTTTCGGATCACGCCTGAAGACTTTCTTCTTCGACTGTGCTTACAGCCACCTTATTCCTACCCCTGGCCTAGCGTTAGTGTTCTGAGATGCTACCCTGTGTAACTATATATAAATGTATATATGTAACTTGTCATTGTTGTAATTCTGTGCTGTGTACTAAGTGTTTTGGGTAGGACAACTGCAGAATAATGACAGGATTCAAACCCATATCTCAGTGCTGAAGTAACAGGTTTCTAACCTTTGGTGATACCACTCTCCATTAGTTTATTAGATTTCACATTACAAATCTAGTTATACCATCTAACATGATTCGAATTGTCCATCACACACTCTTATGTTCTGTGTCTTGCAAAAAAAAAACAGTTGATGGAAGCCTTTTGAAGAATTAGAGATGATGGGGTGGGGGAGGCCAGTAATCCACCAAAACAATAATAAAAAGGTAAAAAAAAATATTATAAAAGTGTTATAAGGAAAAATTCTTCATTGGGAGCCCTGCATCAAATTTTAATTGTATTTTCTTGCGCTATACATATCTTTTTAACACCCTAAGCATTGTATAGGGTGTTCACAAACTCCTGTTACCACCTTGTAACAAATCAGCGCTACTGTATAAATCTGCGGAGGAACTGAGACAAGATGTCAGAGATGCATTTTGCCTCGTCACTCCATCCATGTTACTGCAGATGTTGCACCAAACATGGCGTCGGAAGATTATCCGCCACGAAAATGACGGCACTCACGCACACCGATTCTCTGGATGCCTAAATAGAGTTAAACACATTCATTCTTCCCCGTGTTTCAGTTATTGGTCAGTGCACTGCAGGAAAAAGACTTGGGGGCGCGGGTAACAGGACTTCATGGACATCCTGCACCCACCTTCAACAAAAAAAATCACTGTCACATTTTGCAGNAAAAAATAACATTGACACAAGAGAAAGAAAGATATCACATGGCGCAGTTAGCGGAGAGTGCGCACAGCCCGTCAAAACATTTATTGATTTTTCTTCATCCAAATGCACCAATTATAATAATGATCATAATTCTTACACGGCACAAAGCAAACGAAAAAAGTTTCATGAAATCGACCTGTTTATCTGCGGATTTATGAGAGAATCTCTCTGTGTCAGTTTGCTATTTCTCTCTGGTCCAATTCTTACAGTAAATGTCACTTTCCCCGCGGTCTGACCCCTGCCTCAAACCTTAACCAATTGCTGCCTTTTCCCGATAGCATTTAATGAGTCGTTGCCAGATATTTCTCAAAGCTGGGTAGTCGTATTAAGACATCTTAAATCAACGTATCTCGTCCGTACACTCACTGGAGGCACTTATTCAAGAATTATCTTAGCCAATAGTTTACAGAATACATCCTAACCATGGTCCAAACCCAAGCTACTATGTCTAAGATAACGAGTTACAGTGCATCTAAACACATGCAGTCTTGAAACATATCATTGGATTAGGGTACAATATTCATGCCTCTTTTTTGTTAGAAAAGCACAAGTGCAATAGAAGCCACAATATAAGCGGTTAAACAGTATAGATAGACAGCAAATAGCAATCAATCTCTGTTTCTTTCCCCCCCACCACCCTCTGGTTTCTTTTGCTTTACATTTTAACGTCTGTAAATTGTCTCGTTTCATGCAACATGGACTAACCACGCCCTTAAAAAAAAAGCTGCGGGTTGTTGAGGATGCGCATCCTGAGCAAGAGCAGAGCAAAGCAGCAAGAGCAGGTTACAAAGCTAGAGATTAAGAAGCCCCCACCACTGGCTGGAGGCCCTCGCCAGGTAGCAAAGGGCAGGTGAAAACAGTCGCACATCTTGGCAAATCCTCTAGTAGTTTCCCGATCTAATTCTCCTTTTAACCGGACGAGTTCTGAAGTAGAAAAATAAAAGGCAGTATCTCCACCCCGACAGGCTAGCTGCTAATGCTGAAGCCCAACATCACTGCAGCTAGGAGAATAAAAAAGAATATGCTGACACGCTGTCCACTCTGTGTGTGTGTCTCTCTCTCTCTCTCTCTTGCATCACTGAATGCGAATCCCTGGATAGGCACCAAATTATACAGGTCAGCTCTGTAATGCATTACGCCAAATTGATCCAATCTGCAGAGGACGTCCAGGTCGCTGCAGAGAATTGTGCCAAGATAACAAATCAACTTGTCTTACTGTACCAACAAATTTGGTGAGATCCAGTATCAGAAGAGACAATCCCTCACCTATTTCACTAACCCTTTTGGTGAGTATCAATTGGTGGTAGTTTCTTATTAATAGATATGGGAACATTGAATGTCGTTTCTGGCTTCACTTGTAGATATACATATATTGATAATGATTCTGGGTACCTTTAAGTTCTTTTGAATGGTTAACCTTTAAGGCTACAGTGGTTGCAATACTTTTGGAAACGACATGCAAACTAGCAGCCAACACTTTTTTTCGCATGATGTGCACTTTGAAAGCACTTCAAAAGTTGCTTTTAAATACTTTTTTTTGCATTATTTGTATCTCAAGGCCTGACACATACAGCTCTGTGTAATGCTTACACCCAAACAGATAAAAATGTACCATTAACAAAGTAAAGGTATTTGGACGAATTGATCTATTTTGATACAAAGCAAGCTGGTTCATTAGGTATTATAGTAATAATAATCCTTGCATTCGATTTAGCGCTTTATCATGTTGTTGAGACGTCTCAAAGTGCTTCACAAGTTATACTGTAAAGTGAATTGACTATGTACTTTGTGGGCATACCGTTGCAAAGATGGAAAAAAATCCTTTATATCCTCATTATTTGTAAGCCAATTTCAGGTCATTAGAAAACGTGCAGAAAAAGTTGAATACTAACACAGGCTATGTGATGGGGATGTGGGGAATCGATTGAAAGCTCTGCTTTTGCACATCATGTAAAGGCAGAGATTTTAATGGACCAGGTGATAGTTTTCAGTCACAGTGATAATGTCTTCAATAGAAATCAGTGGAAAGCTTTCCTTGCTTTTATTCTTTCATGACATTAACACTTCCTCTTAAAATTCAGGCAACAGTTTACCAGGGCTGCAAATAAACTTAATCCTTTTGAAAAAAGAGAATTACAATGAGAATGTTGCAGCCAAGTTAAGAACTTTTAAGCAAGAATTGTCTCTATATAATAATTATGATTCATAATTATTGGAGTCATATGTTTTATTTCTGAGTTAAAGTGACAGCTATCAAACCACTTGTAGAATATTTTACATATCCAATATATTTTGTGCCAGGCCCCTTTGACTCATAAATTATAAAATACTTGAACGATGGTAAGACAATGTACGGTTCAGATATATATGCTTTGGTATTTTATTAACCTGATGAATTGAAACATGAACGAACAGACAGTTTCGTTTTAAACCGAACAGGTTGCCTTCATGTGTCTGTAGTTATAAAATTCATCTGCAGCAGATTATTTAGCAAATCCAAACCGAATGTTATTCAAATGTTATTTAAACACACTCTCACACATTTCTGGATACCATTTAAAGTGAAAGGAAATCTGGTTAAACAACAAAGGTGAATTCCAATAACATTTGATATAACATTTGATATAACAAGCTAAAAGGCCGAGTAATAGATTCCCTGCCCTTTCCACATGAGGTGTGTTGAAAGCCTATGGATATCTAACAAAAACGCTGTTACCAAAATATTCTTTTGTAATAAAGAACTTATTAAATATATCAATTTAGCTGTAAGTCTGTTTGAACGCTGCAGTACAAAATATTTGCAAAGTAATGCATTCTTTCGGCATTCTTCTCTCAGCTAGAGTTCCACGTGTAAGTGTTTCTGGGCTGTGAGATGATCTGTGGAAGATGAGCAGCAGTTCATATTGCAGAAACTGGTCAGCTTATCTTGGTTACATGTTAGATATCCAACAAACCTGTTGGCTTACACTGAGTCAAATGTGACCAAGCTGTCCTTGTAATTTGTGAATTACATACGTTTCAGATTACGTTGGTGTTTAATGCTCAAATAATAGGCCGACCTGCTATTAACGAAACGCTGGCAATGATAGGGAAGGTGCTCCCGCGACTTAGTAGTCTAAAGTGAGAAGGTTGTGTGGTCCGCAGGAGTAGCAGAAGCATGCAGGCAAACACATTTGCAGCATATGATCTACACAGACAGGAATAGAAAATAGCAGTGATTTTATTAGCAAATACGTTACATGATCTAGTGTATTATTAGCCCGTCAATGACCTGTCTAGCGGTACCTCCCAGCAGTCACGAGACATTTAATGAGAGCATTTAATGCATTGATATCCAAGAATCCAACTAACACTAGTCTGTCTGGTAATCGCAGACTTGAGTGGGGAGGAGGTGACCAAAAGTAAGGTCAAAAAGGACTTTAAAATGAGCTTTAAAGTGAGGAAGGAGAGGGAAAGATAGAGTTCCAGAGAGGCAAGATGTTTTCTTGTGTATTTAAAAAAAAACAGTTTTACTCACATGAAGTCTGAGCCATTGCGAAGATATTGACACTTCCATTTTAGGACAAACAGTCGAAAGTTGCTGACTGTGGAGTGACCTCAGTCACCCATTCGAGATCCGATTTCTGGAGGTCCTACAACATAACTCACAGCCTTATTAATTAAATGTTTATTAGTTCCCACAGGATTTTAACAAAGAAGGTAAAGGAAACCAAAATAATTGGTTGTATTAGCATCAGTGACCTTGATCCTTGCAAAATTACAGTGTTTTTTTTAGTGAAGATGAACATTGATGAAAGTAGAAGGATGCCCCAGCCATGAGAGAGATTACTCTCCACCTTTCACCTACCCACTACCTATTTTAAACAAGAAATATCTATCTTAGTAACTAAGGAGTGAGCATGATTTAGTTTAACTAATTAGGCTATTTTCCTGGGTATCTAGACCCAGGTGGTATATAATGACAGCGTGCATAAGAACATATGCTTGAAAGCTGCTTTGGGCAGAATACAACAGTTTACTATCATTTGCATTCTGTAAGTGATGCCCAGTGAAATTTCTGCAAAGTCTATGAACACTTTTAATAACCGTTTCGCGATTCAGCCAAATGAAAGCACGAGAACTTCGAATATGATTTTAGATTTTATTGATTTCAATAGTCTTATTAAAATTGCATCCTTCTCTAAATGATTACTCAATTATTCAAGTCATTAACGAAGCAGATTCTGGGGTTTGGAGAATGACTCATTCTTGACTGTTTTCAGGCTAAAGTGGATTCCAGTCCACGGCTGGTGATTCCATCACTAGATTATCTTTTACGGCTCCTAGACTACGTACCAAGTCTTTATCATATGATGGAAGTCATGCATGGTGGTACATTTTAGAAAATCCATTGTGCTTTACCATTTCAAGAATTAAATGTTGCTGCAGTGATAATGCATTTTTTTTTCCATCTTTAGCTGTGAAACTCAAGCTTCGAAAAAGCTTAAATCAATGTTCCTCTAACATAAAGTGGGAGTCAGGTTACAAATGGAACCACTTTCTGTCTGCAACAGAACTGGACTCATGCCATGATCGTTCAGTTTTAATTTAACAAAGTGGATTTGCCTGTATATAATTTTCTTCTATTTGAAGGTCAGATATCTTTGATACTGCAGAACTCTTTAATCCTTTATCTTATTACAATTGTAGTTTATTTTAATTGTTTATGTTTGGTAACATAAGTCTTAGTGAATTATGTTAAGGAAGAGTTACAACAAAATACAAAGCATAATGCAATTTGTATTTTTTTTAAATAATGTGAAATAAAATGTGCAGTGCATAGTTCTGAGCATTTATCTGATTCCTCAAATTTTGGGAGGGAATTTTACAGATCATTTTTAATGTAAAGATACTATATCACACTAGTGGTGATGGGAGCTATTATTTCTCAATCCTTCATTCTTCTCAGCTGTTCATGCAAACTCCCATATAATGTGGCTATTGGCACAAAATGTACTTCCTGGCAACTTGTGTTGGCATCTGTACAACTATAATAAGTCAGGTCTATAAATTAGTAAGCGATAAAATGATTGAAATATTTTTCAAAGGGATTACCTCAGCATAGATTACATACTGAAACCTAAACTGGAATTCAAACTTAATAAAAGAATACTACCAAAGATTTAATTTTAAAATACTGATCAGGATTTATAAACGACTGTAGTAGATTCATCATTTTGGGCTTCTTTAAATGTGCAAAATCTATATAGTTCCTTCATTAGAATAGGCGTGTGGCACCCAAAAAGATATGTTATAATGTGACAACACAGAATGGAGAAACACAGAAAGTCGGTGGTCTTTGAAGGAATGCAGAGAAAAGATTACAGTCTGCTTTAACTAAGATCAGATGTTCTTTTCCAGAGATTGAACAGTCAAGTTAAATTGAGCTGTGTAATTGGCTGAGTGCCTCAGTTACAGTCAATCTTTGCCATAGTTATTGCATAATGTTTGATTTTAAAAGCTGAGGAGCTGTATATACTTTTATTTAGACAGCATGGTTTGCATTAGGTGAAGACACTGTATCTCATTACTTGCATTATCTTATTAATACACTACTTCTATGCGTTTGCACAATTGTAATCACAGTATATAAAGATAACTGTAGTATCACTGTAGTTAATTGATACCTGGACTTGTTTAGGTTCAGTTATGTTGGTTAAGGATGCTAGGTTATCGTATAGTAGTGAACTGTGACCTGTTTACATGTTTAAGAGTTTAAACTGAACAATTCCCAATCTCAGATGTGTTCACTTGGTAGAGAGAGCTAAGCCGTAAAAATGCGTTGTTTGGTTTGTGGGTAAGATGGATTGCCTAAATAAGTTATAAACAATCAAAGATACTTCCGGCCCAACCATAACGTTTGCATCGCTAGAGACAATTGCTCAGTAATGGACACGTGGCAGGTTGCATGAAAGGACGCAGTAAGAGAAAGTAGGTTTATTGGGAGTCAGCAAAAAATAGGAAGCAGATTGGCT